TTTAGGCCCCATCCCATCTCGAAGTGCTCCGAGAGCCAGCCGTCTGGGACGGACTACGGCGCGAGCGCACGCGCGGCGGCGGCGCGCGCGTGGCCCAACATGGGTGCCGTGCGAACAAAAAGGGGTCGAGGAGGAGGAGGAGGAGGAGGAGGAGGAGGAGGAGGAGGAGGAGGAGGAGGGAGGAGGGAGGAGGGAGGAGGGAGGTCGCGCAGTGGGCACGTGCCGGATCGGCGCGGAGGCGCCGCGCGGTGAGCCGAGGATGCGGCTGAGAGTGCGCGGGGGCGTGGCACGGTCTGTTCCCAGGCATGATCGCGTCGTAGAAAAGTCGGGGCGGGATGTCTTTGGCTGTGTTCGGCCCCGGGCGGCCCTCGCCGGGCCTCGGGAGGGTCCAGAAACGATTCAGGACGAAAAACCGGTCCCGTGGAAGGGGTCGGGACTTCCAGGGACGCCGCCCTGAAAAAATAGAGACGATGGGCCTGCTTTCCACCACCACCACCATAAGTTGGAGGGGGGAGGTCCTCCTCCCCCTCTTCCTCTTCCTCCCCCTCCTTATCCTCCACCTCCTTCCCCCCTCCAACTTAGGGTGGGGGTGGTGGAAAACAGGCCCGCTGGGGGGCGTTGGTCAAGGAATGCGCCCAGGATGCTGCAGACCCTGGAGGATTCCTTATCTGATGAGGGCGGTGGTGATGTCCATGGCCAAGCCTCGGTTGGAGTTCCACCGGACTCCAGCCACTGGATTCCCAATCTAAGGGTTCCTTATCCAATGCCCCCACCGTATGTGCAAAAGGATTTGCGCATTGGGCACATGCGGGATCAACGCGGATGCACAGCGTGGTGAGATGAGAGTGCGGGTTGCGGACGAGGTTGTTGACACGCATTGATTGCGAAGGCTTCACGGCCGGTGCCGCCGACCCTGAATGGCGACGACGACGACGCACCGCGTGGTGAAATGAGAATGCGGGTTGTGGACGAGACTGCTGGCACGCATTGATTTTTATGGATTTCAGCAGAATGCGCGGGCAGAACTTCGGCAAGCATTGTGATGGTATAGAACCTCAGAGTTTTTGATACTTTGTGTTTGAGTGCTGAATGCTTTTGTTGACATGTGCGCGCGCGTGGACTTCAAGCAGTTTTTGCAAGGGCCTCTTCAAACATGATCTGTTGAGATAAACGAGTTTGCGTGGATTGTACCTATCATTGACAGGGGTGATGCGGGGCGGTGCTCGTTTGACTGGGATGGCATGAATTCATATGCAAAATGAACGATGGGACAGAAACACTTGTGAACTGTATGATCCCAGGGTGCACCGCCAACCCCGGGGGCGGGGGGTCTATCTTGATTTTTCGGGAAAGATATGATACGCAGTGCAATACTACCTGTACGACCACCCTTTGGGTGATAAGGAGGTTGGTGGGGGAAGAAAAAGAACCAACTGACGACTAGTGCGATGGCGGTTATGATGACGATGCTGGTGATGCGCTCTCGAGCTGGCGACGACGCGTGGTGACGATGCTACGTCGAGATGCCATTATTGATCTCATTGTCGAACTAGCGATCGGCCTCTCTCGATATATCCCACCATCGCTCTCACTCGACCCATCTCATTTTTGATCTCACTCTAGATCTCACTAGTGATCCCACCATCGATCTCACTATCGATTTCACTATCGGTGTTACTGTCGATCTCACCACGGGACGCCGTGGGACACCGACGCTACTCTGACGGGACACCGAAGGGACATCGACGGAACACCCGCGGGACACCGACGGGACACCGACGGGACACCACGGGACACCATCGGCACAACATCGAGACACCAATCGATCTCATTTTCGATCTCCCTATCGATCTCACTCGGTCGATCTCACGACCGATCTTTTCGATCGGTCTCACTATCGATCTCATTGTCGCTCTCGCTACTGATCTCACTCTCGATCTCACTATCGGTCTCACTATCGATCTCACCATCGATCTCACCACGGGACACCACAGGACACCGACGGGACACCCGCAGGACACCGACGGGACACCGACGGGGCACCACGGGACACCATCTTCACACCATCGGGGCACCAGTGGATCTCATTTTCGATGTCACTATCGATCTCACCATCAGTCTTCCTATCGATCTCTCTCGCTCGACTTGACTATCGATCTCACCATCGGCCTCACTATCGATCTCACTATCGATCTCACCACGGGACATCACAGAACACCGACGAGACAACGACGGGACACCGACGGGACAGCGACGGGACACCGGCGGGACACCGACGGGACGGCGACGGGACACCGACGGGACACCGACGGGACGGCGACGGGACAGCGACGGGAAAGCCACGGAACACCAACGGGACACCGATGGGACATTAACGGGACGCCACGGCGGGACAAGCTGGCCACCGCCTGCCCATCGCGGGGAAGAGGCGGACAGCGACGGGGCACCACGGCGGGACAACCCGGCCACCGCCCAGCCACCGGGGAGGGAGGAGGGGCAGCCAGCGGCTCGGAGTCATGCCCCTCGCCCGCCCGCGCAGCTTCGCCTCGCACGCACGACACGAAGCCGAAACCGAAACCGAGTTCCCGGCAAAGGGCTCTCCGTTCCACGCCGTGAACGCTGTGAGATGCGATCTATGTGGTGTGAGCTATGATCTGTGAGATATGCGTTGTGAGCCTACGTGGTGCTTTCTATGCGTGAGTTACGGGGTGCAAGCTACGCGGTACAATCTATTTCGTGTGAGCCATGTTGTGTACGCACGGTGCGCCCACGCGGCGGCCACGAGGCGGCAACGTGGCGAAACCTCGCCGGACCCACCCCACGCACGAGGCGACCACGAGGCGGCCCCGGGCAGCGTCGTGGCGAGGATTCGCCGGACGCACCCAGCGTACGAGGCGGCCACGGGCGGCAACGTGGCGGTTCCTCGCCAGACCCATGCAACTTCTAAGCGACAGAAGTAAGAATCCGTAGCTAAATGCCAGTACTGTTTGGGGACAAAGGGTTTTGCCGCGAGGGTCCGCGGTGCATCTTGAATTTGTTTTGAACGATTGCTCCTTCCCAGCTGCACCGCCAGCAATGCACCCCGTCGACTGGCCAGAGCTTCCCTCGCACGTCAAATTCACAAGCGAGGAGCAACTCTCGCTTGGCATACCAGCGAAAATTGTAAGCTGCACTACGGAATGCCGCGGAAGTCATAAGTGCATGAAGCACATCGACAGTGAGTCAAGAAGTCGTTTCTCGATCGTTTCGGTGCGCCTGCGCGTTCCTGGAGCACCTGCGTCTTCAAGCTTTCAGATTGACAGCTAGGGCCAACTGCCACCAAACCGCCTCCCGTCGTCAACTCACCCAAACACCCAAATGAGTGCCATGACGGGGGGCACTTCTTCCTCCTCCTCTCCCTTGCATGCACGTTTTTGTCTATCTGGCGCGATGGCTGCTGCTGTTCGGATCGCTGTCGTACAGAGTGCTCATTTCTAATTCGTGTGCTGCACGTGGCCTCCGCCGCCCCTTCGGCGCGCTTCATTTCTAATTCGTGGCCGGAATTGCAAATGACCGGAATTAGAAATGAACGCGCTTGTTAGGCCCCGGAGGCCCCAGGGCAAATGCATTCGAGCGCGAGCCCGAGTCTGGATCTGGGGCGCGCGCGCCATCCTCGATCGGGCACGCGTAGACGTGACGCGCAAATCCTGCGTGTCGCGTACACGTGACACGCAAAATCTGCGTGTCACACGGAGCGCGCCTGGGGCGGGACACGCAGAATCAGGGGGGCGGACACGCAAAATCTGCGTGTCGCACGCCGGGGGTCCTGGGGGCCGGGGCGGGGACACGCAGAATCTGCGTGTCACGCGGGCCCCGCCAGGGAGGCGGTCACGCAAAATCTGCGCGTGGCACGCCGGGGGTCCAGGAGGCTGGGGTGGGGACACGCGGAATCTGCGTGTCACGCGGGCCCAAAATCTGCGTGTCGCACGCCGGGGGTCCGGGGGCCGGGGTGGGGACACGCAGAATCTGCGTGTCACGCGGGCCCCGCCAAGGGGGCGGTCACGCAAAATCTGCGTGTCGCACGCCAGGGGTCTCGGAGGCCAGGGTGGGGGCCAAGGGCCGGGGATCCCCTTGGCGCTCCCGGAGGTCCAGAGGCCGGGGGCCAGGGCCGGGACATGCAGAATTTGCGTGTCACGGAGGCGTTCGCGTCTGCGCGACACGCGAAGCTTGCGTGTCAGTCACTCGGCGGCCTTGAGGCTTCAGACTGACGTGACACGCAGGATTTGCGTGTCACGTCTACGCGACACGCAAATCCTGCGTGTCACGTCACACGGAACGCGCTCGGGGCGGCGTCGCGTAAGTAAACGTGACACGCAAATCCTGCGTGTCACCCGGAACGCGCTCGGGGCGGCTGGGCGACGCGACACGCAGGATTTGCGTGTCGCGTAGACGTGACACGCAAATCCTGCGTGTCACACGGAACGGCGACGACGATGTTGTTGCCGTTATTCTTTTGATCTTTTACGAGCTTAAGCAGAAGCTGCGCCCTGACGCCTTGCAGACACGTTGGGCGTAGCGCTTGAGCACATGCCTTCCTGTCGGCATCTCTCATTTGCAATTCGGGGACGGAATTGGAAATGACCGGAATTACAAATGACCGGAATTACAAATGTGTGCTCTGTGGTATGACAGGTCTGCATGGGTTCATCTTGTCTTTGCAGTTCATCTCACTCCATTGCATGGCTCTCGTCGGCAATTGAAGCACGACTGGTGCGCATTACCACTTCTATGCGTTTCTTCGTCTCTCCCTAGGATGCGGGTTCAACTTCCGCCCTCCATTTCCACCTCCACCTTCTGCTCCTCCTCCCCCTATCATGCTGTAGTTACATCACCATCTTTCCCACGCCCCTCCCCCAGCAGCTGCAGTTGATGATATTCTTCCTCCCCCTCCTCTTCCACCTCCTGGGCTCACTACTCCTCAGTCTCCCTTTCCCCGTCTCCTTTGCGCGCTGGCTCTTCAGGACCATCGCCTTCCGTGGCCCGTCCAGACAGAGCAAAGACGCTGCCATGAAGGACGCGCAGCAGTTCGACGATGCGGCACCGGAAGGCCAAAAAGGCGTGCGCTTGGTCGCGCAGGCAGGCCGCCGACGACTTCCGAAGTCTCTTTTGCGTGCTGCGTGCTGAGAATGGTTCCACGGCGCACTCGTTTGGCCAGCCGTTCCGCTCTTTGAATCTCCATCATTCCTTTTTCTCAATGAGTGCAGTGGTGGTTCAAGATGTAGCCCGCCTTTCCTACTAGATGTGGCTCGAGGTCCCATTCGGCTCTCCTTTTCCAAACCACCAGGGCGGCTTACCTGACACTGGCCTCAGTGGCAACAGAGGCGTTCGATTGTATCTCAGACGAGCATTTCCAAGCTTCGGTGCGATGCGGGCAGCCACCCGATCTTCGCGACCTCGGCGACCCTCTGAGGTCAGGCAGGGGGAAGGGAGGACTTCGGCACCCCGTCCCCCATTGCCCGGTAGCCACGGCCTCAAGCGGTGAGCGCACCACACGGTGATGGACCGTGCGGTGAGGTCTTGGGGGATTTCGAGGTCACCGCATAGTCTGTCACCGCACCGTTTCGGGACTCCAAAGATTGTCGAATCCCAGACATGGCCGCGTCGTGGCCCTCACGCAGACTGGGCCGGCCGGAGCTGCACAGGGCTTCGCCTCCGAACGAGCTGAGGACCACACGCGCAGGGCAGCGAAGACACGCCGGGCTGCGCTGGCCGCAGCCGAGGTGGCCGCAGCCTGCTGCACCTGAAAGCTGACGTGGGGGACCATCAGCAGTCATAACCCCAGACATGATCGCGTCGTAAAGAAATCAGGAGGGGAGGTGTTGGGCCGTTTTCGGCCTCGGGGGAGCCCTCGCTGGGCCTCGGGACTGTCAAAAAACGACTCAGGGTAAAAGGCCGGTCCCGGGGAAAGGGTCGGGACTTCCAGGGACCCCGCGTTGAATCAAATCCGGACGTCGTATGTCTGGGATGGTATCAGGTGGCAGGGGGAGCTCGCTCTCTCCGCAATGGCGGCGTCAGGCAAAAGCTACTGTGCATACTCCGCCGCGGCACTCGATCCGCGGGACCAGTACGTGTGTGGTTGTGCGGACATCTATAAGTGTAAGTATGCCCTGTTCAAACGCATACGTATGATGGTGAGCACGCGTGGGCAGGTATTGGAGCCAGGGCTGTCGTTGAATGGTGACCATGTCTCCACCATCCGCCTAAGCTCTTGCCATTGCGCTTATTGATCGCCTTATAATCAGTATTATTCCTCTGCGCTTGCGCACGCAGCAACGAGGCACGCGGAGATCCCCTGACGCTCGAAAGATCGTGGGGAGCTCTGGAAACTTACCACAGCGCGCCAGCACAGAGCGGAGAGGGAATGGAGGGAAGGTATCTGTATTGAGACGTTCTGAGCGGTCAGGACGAACGCCCCACTCGACGAGGAAAACATAGAATCAACTCAAAATGTCAGAGCGCCGCGCGGATTTCTGTGATCGGCGCTGGACCCCCCCTGTCGGCGCGGGACTTGGCGCACTCCGCGTGCCTGGGTGGGGGGCCCAGCGCCGACGCAAGGAATCGGCGCGGACCGCCGAGAGTTCAGGTGTATGCCGGTCTTCCCTTCACTGCCAACAAAAAAATCCATTTACACAAGGGCTCCCTCGAGGGCGCGAAGTTATTCGCGCTTCGCGCTTCGCGGTCCTCGTTCCTTCTCCCCCTCCTCCTCGTCCTCCTCTTCTCCCTTTGGGAGGGCGGCGCGAGAGCGCGAAGTTATTCGCGCTTCGCGCTTCGCGCAGCGCGAAGCGCGAAGCTGGGAGCCCTTGGTACAAATCATGGCAGCTACGGCTCCCACGCAAGATGGTCTTAGCCATCGCAGTGTGCCGTGCAGCAGCCATGCCCACAGCAGCCAAGCCTGGACATAGCCTGGACATAGCCGTGAGCACGGGACCCTGCCTGGACATAGCGGGCGGCCCTCAGTCCAGAGACGTTGGGCGCTGCCCGAAATTCCGGCCGAGTCCACTCAGTCCTCCTCCTCCTCCTCCTCCTCCTCCTCCGCCTCCTCCTCCTCCTCATTCCTCGTCCTCCTCCTCCTCCTCCGTCCTCCTCCTCCTTCTCCTCCTCCTCCTCCTCCTTCCCCTCCTCCTCCTCCTCCGCCTCCCCTCCCCCTCCTTCCCCTCCCCCTCCCCCTTCTCCTCCTCCTCCTCCTCCTCCTCCTTCTCCTCCTCCTCCTCCTTTCAGCTTGTGCGCGAGAATTTACCAGCCATCACTACCAGCAAGGTGAAGGCCCATCAGAACATTGAGGAAGCGGCCGACGATATGGACCGCTTCCTCCGCGTAGGAAATAATTTTGTAGATGCTGCTGCTAAGGTGGCGGCAGCGTCGCACCCTCAGCCCAGTCGTGAGGAGTTGGAGTCAGTAGATCGGCAGTATGCGGTCGCGCGTGCTGTGGGCTTGCTGGCTGCAAAGCTCCTCCCGCTATGGCCGCCTCTCGAGATGGGCCCCGATGTCGTTCGCGAGGTCGTTTGTCGTGAGAGTGGTGCTGGCCAAGGGACAGCTGCGGTCGCACCACACGAGCGGCAGCAGATATGAGCTTCCTGGAAATGCAAGGCCTGTCTTAAAGTTTCTTGTGGGGTTCGGGCCCCGCCTCAGTACCTAGGTATGGGTGGGAAGTTTTGGCCCCCGCAACCTGGGCTCTGTTCTCGTCGAAGCAAGCTGGACCCTGCAATGCTCGCGGCAAAAGGCCGCCATTGCATCGCGCTCGAGTGCTCCGACGATAATCGTCTCATCGTCTGCTTGCGATGCAAGGCCATCAGCGGGCAGCGTGCCATGAACTTGGCTCGCCAGTGTGCAGGGCATCCTTGTAGAGTTGGTGCTCGGTATTGCTGGCAGAGAATCTGCCGAGGTCTCCACACCAAGGATGACAGTATCACGGTAGAGCGAGGGCCCTGGTCGGCCGTTGCTCAGGGGTCGAACTAGTGTTAGTTGCGCGCTGGGCACGGGGATGACTTTTCCCCGACAGCGGCCTTGTCGTGCTGTGATTTCGACCACCTTGGTGTGAGAGGATTCACGTGGTGGGTTCGATCTGAGGTTTTTGCTGTGTCCTGTTCGGCGGTGCTGGTTACGCTGCCAGCCCTGGAATTCGGGCTTTGGAATTCCGTCGGGCGGGCGCCGCTGGCCGTCCGTTTCACTGTCTCGTGCTGTCCTCGTCCTTGGTGCACGGCCGTGGGGTGGCGTCTTCCCTGCGGTGACCGTTCCTCAGGGGTCGAGCTAGTACTCCCGTTGCGCGCTGGGCACGGGGGAGGTCTTTCCTTGATAGTGGTCCTTTCGTGCTGTGACTTCGGCCCGGCCTTGGCGTGAGATGGCGCACGTGGCGGGTTCGATCTGGAGTTTTGCTGTGCCCTGCTCGGCGGTGCTGGTTACGCAGCCAGCCCTGAAATTCGGTCCTTGGAATTCCGTCGGGCGGGCGCCGCTGGCCGTCCTCTTCGCTGCCTCGTGCCGCCCTCGCCCCCCTGTCGCACGGCCGTGGGGTGTGAATTCCCCTGCGGTGGCCGTTGCCCAGGGGGCCGCCTCCAGTACCGTTTTGTTTGCGTGTGGGCACGGGGGAGACTCTCGTCCTCCCCGGCCGTCGCCCGCCGTGGTGCTGGTAATTAGCCTTCGACTTGGCGTGAGATGGGCTCGCGCGGCAGGCTCGATCTGGGGTTTAGCTGCACTTTGCTCGTCGGTGCTGGTTACGCTGCCAGCCCTGGAACTCGGGCTTTGGAGTTTCGGCGAGCAGGTGCCGCTGGCCGTCCTTCTCACTGCCTCGTGCTGTCCTCGTCCTCCTGGTGCACGGCCGTGGGGTTGACTCTCCCCTGCGGTGACAGTTGCTCAGGGGGCCGCCCCCCTTGTTCTATCTCTGCGTGTCTGGGCACGGGGGGACCTTCCTCCGACCGTTGCCCTGGCGTGAGGGCCAGGAGCAGTGATGTGTGCAGCCGTCGCTGCCCAGCCGCTCACGACGCTTTTTCGTCTCATCGTCTGCCTGTTTGCGATGCAAGGCCATCAGCGGGCAGCAGGCCATGAACTTGGCTCGCCAGTGTGCGGGGCATCCTTGTAGAGTTGGTGATCGGTATTGCTGGCAGAGGTTTTGCCGTGGTCTCCATCCCAAGGACGACAGTATCACGGTAGAGCGAGTGCCCTGGTCGGAGCTTCTTAACCAGCCAGGGGCCCGCGGCTTACCCCTCCGAGCCGCCAGCGATTTTCTCTTTCACAGAAGAGATGAAACGGCTTGCAGCGGGCAAAAAAACCTCCTCCTCCTCCTCCTCCTCCTCCTCCTCCTCCTCCTCCCCCTCCTCCTCCCCCTCCTCCTCCTCCTCCTTCTCCTCCTCCTCCTCCTCCTGCCCCCCCTGCTTGGATAGCAGGGGCCCCGTCATCGACTCGGGGATAGCCGGGGCACCCCCGCCAGCGGAGCTGGTGGGCGGTCGGCGCCGCCTGTATCGGCGGGGTAGAAGTGGAGCCGGCGGCCAGCCGGAGGACTGGCGGAGGCGGGTGGGGTCGCCCCCCCCCGGGGGAGGGGGGTCGGCCGCGGTGGGACGGTGCCCCTTCCTTCCTCCTTGCTCCTGGCTCCTCCCTCCTCCCCCCTCTCCCTCTCCTCTTCTCTCTTCCCCCCGGGGTTCACAGTGTCGCTGCGGTCCACTCCCCCGCTGGGACTGGGCCGGAGGAGACCGCGGCGGCGCGCGGAGCGCGCTGCCGCGGCGGGTGAGCGCGGAACGCACACGCCGTGCTGGAGCGCGGCCAGTGCTCGGCGCCAGAATCGCAGTGGTTGATTTTTTGGGGGGCCCTCTCGCCCAGGAAAGCCTGGAATAGGGGTGGCTTCATTTTCGACGGCTGTGCTCTCGTGCTCATGGCACAGTTGAACGGCAAGCAACATCCAAGCAAAATCCTCCTCCTCCTGCTACTCCTCCTCCTCCTCCGCCTCGTCCTCCTCCCTCCTCCTCCTCCTCATTCCTCCTCCTCCCCTCCTCCTCCTCTTCCTCCTCCTCCCTTCCTCCTCCTCCTCCTCCTCCTCCTCCTCCGCTTCCTCCTCCTCCTCCTCCTCCTCCTCCTCCTCCTCCGCTGGTGGGGGGGGGAAAGGAGGGGCCCAAGAAACCCCAGCAGAGGGGAAGTGGTTGTTTAAGGCCCGAAGCGGGCCGCGATGCAATTTGGTGCTTGGCTGATGTCCTCCAAGCCTTTTGGCTGAACGAGTCCGAGGCTGCCGAGTTGGGGCCAAAGCTGCAAGAGCGTACCCCAGACAACGATCTGGAGGACGCGGAGGCGGTCTGTTGATACCCAGGGGGGCCCTGTCGTTGTCCCCTGGCAGGTCGGTGTCTTTCCTTTCAGGGTGACAAAAAGGTCCACTCCGAAGGGCTTCCTTGGATTTTTTGGACCGTCGAACCTCTTCCCCCCCTTTCCCTTCAGTGGCGTGCGATCCTCCTCCTCCTCCTCCTCCTCCTCCTCCTCCTCCTCCTCCTCCTCCTCCTCCTCCTCCTCCTCCTCCTCCTCCTCTCTCCTCCTCCTCCTCCCTCTCCTCCTCCTCCTCCTCCTCCTCCTCCTCCTCCTCCTCCTCCTCCTCCTCCTCCTGATTGAAATGCTGCGGGCGGCGCCTTGGGGGATCGCGCCGATTTGGCCAGGTCTAGGGCTCCGTATAGAGACCCCTGGCCCTTGTGCTCCCCGCACTCGCCCCTTCCGAACAGCGCCGGCGTCTGGAGTTTTTTGTTTACGCCCGCGCGCACACGTTGACCAAGCCGTCTTGCAAGAACTTGAAAAGGGCACTGGGCCCGAGCCACAAATCGCTGGCGAGCGAGTGGGGAAGTGAGAAAGAAAGGGCATTATCAGAAGGCGGCGGGGTTTCTCGGAAGGCCTCCCGCCTTCCGCGAGGTGTTTGTTAGTGTCTTCGCGGAAGGCTTAGAAAACTTCTCAGAAGGCTGGGGGGCTTCCGAGCCTTCTGGGAAGGCCCGTCCCTTCTCAATTCCCCCTGGCTCGCCGCCGAAGGTTCGCGTCGTGTCGACCGGCGGCGACCCCAGCAACGGTGTTCAACGTTGAACGCCGCCAGCGACCCAGAATCGGCCGATGTCGAACGATCGGACGTTTCGGAAACGGCCGATCGTTCAAGGCTCCCCGTCGCCAGCGTTCGGCGTTGAACGCCGCTGGCAGGCCAGAATCGGCCGATGTTGAACGATCGGACATTTCGGAGACGGCCGATCGTTCAAGGCTGGTGCCGGCACGGCACGAACCCGCCGCACCCACGTCCCGCCGAGGACGTCAGCCAGCAGTCGTCAGCGTTAAGTCTGGCATGCCCCTCTGCAGGAGGAATTTTCAAAAGCATTCAGACATGAGCCTGGGGACGATGTTTCAACTATTTCTGATCATTTCTGATTATTTGTTTGATTATGTTATAATGTTTCTTCCAAAATCCGCGTGTAGGAGGACATGCCCGACCTATGTCCTGGCGAGGACTTCAGCAAGCAGTCGTCAGCGCCGGGCGGCTCGTCCTGGGTTTTGCGCTTTTGGTGCTGCTGCTCCGTCTGGCGATTACCTCGGCCATGGCGGTGCGATTTACTCGACTCCTGGAAAGCAACAGCACAGCCTACCTGGATCCCAAACCGCGCAGCCCCTGCAGCCAACACAGCGCGGAAGTGGTCGCACCAGAAAGTATCTGGGTTAGGCGGGATGGTCAGAAGACAACCAGGAGCCGATGACGTGGGTCGGGGCTCAGGGATGCACACCACATTGCCTTCGATGTACTGGACTTCCTGGGCCTTCTCCCTACCCCCATCGCTCCTCTCCACTTCCGTCGGCCCTCGCCTCCGCCTTCCGTTCTCGGATTGACCCAAGCGACGGTACAAGTTGCCCTGGGAAAACAGGCAGGCCGAAAGCTGAGCCAGCTCTGCCCAGGATCCTGGCAAAGACTGGGATGCACGCCCCCGAATGCATTCAAACGGTCCACGGGCTGACCGAGACATGCGACGTCCTGATTTTTTCAATACGGGGCCCCTGGAAGTCCCGACCCTTTCCCCGAGATCGGTTTTTCATTCTGAGTCACTTTTTGTCGGTCCCGAGGCCAGGTAAGGGACGCAGGAGGCCGAAAATAGCGAAAAACCTCTCGTCTTGGTTTTTTTTTGCGACGCTATCACGTCTTGGGAATCCGTTTGTGATGATTGCGTGGTGGCCTTGACTCCTATGCACGGCAGGCCCTCCAGAAGACGAAGAAGGGCGGCAGCCATGCCGACGATCCCAACCACTAAGGTTGGGAAGCGAGCCCCGGCTCACGCCAGACGGTGCACGGGGTGACGCAGCTTGTGGCTCGTGTGCCGCTGTTAGCTTCACGTGCACAGCAGGCTCTATACAGAAGGTACACGGGGCCCCCCCCCCCTCGCGCTGTGAAAAATCACGACGGGAGGCTTTACGCTGTTTTCGGCCTCCAGGGTCCCCTGCCCGGCCTCGGGACCGTCCACAAAAGGACCCGGGATGAGAAACCAGTCCCAGGGAAAGGGGTCCAGACCTCTGGGGGTCGACGTTGCGAACAGAATCGCGACGTCGGGGGTGTGGGGGTGAAGCAGTCTGTGGTTCGTGTGTTGGTGTTGGCTTTACGTGCACAGCAGGCTCTACAGAAGACGAAGAAAGGCGCCAGTTGAGCTGGCTCGGCGGTTCTCGGTTAGTGTGTCAGTGTGGAGGTCGAGGCACAGACGGTATGATGGTTGGCAGGGGATGGTGTGAAGTACCGAAGGTTTTTTTCGACCGATGGTAGTTCATTGGCGTCGGAATTTGCGTGGGGGGGTGGCAACGTTACGAGCGGCGTGCAGGTGGTTTGCGGATGTTGCGTACTCGCGCATGGGGAACAGAGACAGAGGGATTATATTACATGGTTTGTTTGATTTGTTTGTGTGTTCCATGACAGTGCCCATCGCGTTCTGTGCTTCACGTCTTGGGCGAACAGCTTGAATCGTTTTGGAGGCGGTACAGCTCAGTCTGAGCCATGTCACAGCGAAGTTGTCAGGCTAACGAAACATTTTTCTGAAAGGGTTTGGGAGGCCGCGCAATAATCTAGACTGCATCTATATGAGATTATATGAGGTATACTGTGTTGTGTGTCTGTCTTACTCGATCCAAAATCCACCCAAGCCGCTCCAGTGAGTGGTTGATGCATCGTCTTGGGTTCCTGGAAGTTTGGAGAGGATTCTTGGGACACGTGTTTCTAGGAAGCTGTTGTATACGACGCCAGGGGTGTGTTTCAAATTGAGAGTTCGTTACAGACTTAGAGGTCTCGAGCAGATAGGTGTATGATCTCCCCCTTGTCTTACGACTCACTCGCGGCAGCATCCACTATGTATGTAGTTATCGTATGCAGCAGGTCTGTCGTCTTGCACCCGGTCGCTCCCACAGTGTGTGTGTCTCTCTCTCTCTCTCACGCCGCACTCCCTGCTGTATTAACGCTATGTTTTGACGCGATTCGTTGGCCTCGCTTGGAGTAGCTGGCAGCGGGCTCCGAAAATCGACCTCTTTCAGCTCCGCGCGCGCGTCTCAGTTTTGTTTTGGTTTGCCCACTCGAGGGCCATCTATGTCCGACTCTTGCAACGCCTTTACATTTATCTGTCGATGTGAGCGATATACTGTTGACAACATCTACTGGTATCAGATATCAGGTGTGCTTATATGAATCGCCGTGGTTGTCATCTTGGCTGTGTTCGCACCCACACGCATTGACTTGTGCTGGCATTGTTCGGGTGTGCTTGCAGCATGAGAGATGGGACGGGGGATGAACAGAAAAGGAATTGTGAAGCGGACGGGGAGGGGTCACAATAGATATAGACGTATATACGTTTATGGTACACATGTGTACATGTAGGGGCAAATCTATTGACGTACAGTGAGGGTAACGTATACATGGGCAGGCAGCCACTTGTATAATTCATGACGGACAGGGAGGGTGGTATACACAGGTGGCGTGAATATTTACTCCGTGCATAAAGATAAAGACGACATAGCGAGATAACGGGGCAGATAGCAATCTATGCGCAATCGCGCCACGTAGGGCATCCCTCTCCCAACCCATCACTCCCATTGCGTTAAATCCCTGTCTATCCGCCTGCTAGGGGGGTTCTAGAGGACCTTGGGATCCGAATGGTAGTTGCAGGATCTGACCCATCAGGTGCTGCGCGGTCCGAACCGGAGGCTTTTGTACACTGGAGGAGGAGGCCGACTAGCATGAGGAGGAGGAGGAGGAGGAGGAGGAGGAGAAGGATGAGTGAGAGGAGGAGTGAGGAGGAGGAGGAGGAGGAGGAGGAGGAGGAGGAGGATTGAGGCGGATAAGGAGAAGGGGGAGCAGGAGGAGCAGGAGGAGCAGGAGGACCAGAAGCAGAGGGGCGCAGTTGCGAGTCGAGGAGTGGGGCGGATCCGGAAGTGCGGCCCGCGCTGCGGGGAGAGCGCCGCTCTGCACAAAGGGGGGCGCAGCACTGTGCCTGAAGTGGCTGTCAGTCTTTCTGGGTGGCCCCCAGTCATCTTATCATACCTCTCTCTCCCTCTGCCTCTCTCTCTCTCTCCATATCTGACCATGCGTGTATATGCACATATGCATATGCATCTCTCTCTCTCGCACCCTCTCTGTCTCTCTTTCTGTCTCCCCCCCTCTCTCTGCCTATCTCTACTTCTGTCCACGTCTACACAGGCCCCTCTCTCACACTCTCTCACAGTCTCTCTCACTCTCAATCTCTCTTTCGCTCGTTTCCTCTCTCTCGCTCTCGTTCCTGCCCGGATCGCTATGCAGACTTCTCCCCAGTTCCCGAGTTCTCCTGCACAAAATATCTATGGGCCTCCCCCATGAGGTAAACTAGATTTGGGCGTTTACGCATTCAGTAAATCCCCATCCACCGACTGTCCTCCGCAACTCCACTTCCATATGTGGGTTATCCATACATATACACAAGATGTACAAGCCATAGCCCGCAACATCTTGATTGACTGTGTGTGGCTTCCTCATGTTATATCGGCATGTGGGACCGTCACCTATTGCATTAATTTGCAGGCCTTGCTGAAACTAGCAAACATCTATATGTGTGGCGACATCGCGCATGGAATCAACATGCGGGGCCTTGCCTCGCCTATTAGCTCAGACTGTGGGCAACATGCACCGCATGTGCTCAATACACAGTGCTCACGTTAGATCTTGGTGTGGGCCCTCCTTCGCACACCAGAAGAACAGCTTGGCCGTACATCTTGCAGATCCATTGGCGGCCCGCCTCCATTAATTGATTCGGTAGGGAAGCCCCCTGCCGCACGTGAGATCGATGCACTTTCCCGCTGGTGGCCACGGTCCGTTCTGGTGGCCAGCTCGTATCGGCCTCGTGTATACAATGGCGATCATGCGCGAGTGGCGCGCTCCGCGGTAATCTTGACCACGGTAGTGATGTCCTTCATCCTATCCGCTTGGGTACCGAATATTAAGGATGTCCCGCCCCTGGTTCCTGGTTCTTGATTGCGGTAATGGAAGGAAGAGTTTGATGAGAGAGAGAGAGAGAGACGGAATAGAGATAGGAAGGGAGAGAAAGCAAGAGAGAGAGAGAGAGCGAGAGCGCGAGAGCGATATACATAGATATATATAGAGAGAGGATGCGTGTGTGGAACTAAATATCAGAACTGTGGGACCAGGGGGAGAAATATGAAGGCAGACAAATACGGAGGGAGAGAACGTGAGGGAGAGGAGAGGTATGGACTTTGTGAAATAACTAACATCATAACATGGGGCTCGGAAGGCGGCGGCGTAGGAGGGGAGCGAAAGAGAGAGAGAGAGAGAGAGAGATATAACTTTATATCTATATAGGTGTATAGCATTTATATATATGTATATGTATGTAGCACACAACGAGAGCGAGAGAGAAAGAGAGAGAGAGAGAGGTAAAAAAAAGCGTAGGCGAGGGTATCGGGATAGTTCGACATTCGCACGCACGCACACACACACCACGCACAAACACACACGCACACACAAACGCGTGTTGGCGGTCGCGACTTCGCGCGCGGCGACGCGGCGCCCAAGAGGGCCTGGAGAGGCGCGCGCGGCACTCCTGCCGCGCCAGACTCCCCGCCGAGGGAGGGTCCGGACGGCACCGCTGAGCGGCGCCGCGTGCTTGCACCGCGTGCTCTGCCGTGCGGTGCTCTGCCCATGCTCCGCAGAGGTCCCGCGGGCCGTCGTGCTCCGCACGTTGCGTGTGTTGTCCTTGGCGTGCTTGGGCTCGCTGCGCCGTGCTGCTCTGAATACCTCGGGGTGCCATGTGCCGTGTACGTGTGTGTGTGTGTGTGTGTGTGTGTGTGTTTGTGGCGCACTCGTGCGCGTGCGCGGCGCGCATTTTGTTCGCACCATGGGGCCGTGTCTTCGGGCGCGCGCAAATCGGATACCTCACGACGGCCACCTCCTCGTGCTCATCCAGGGCCCACGTTGATCCCATCGACCCGACCCGATGCCAGTTCGGAGAACTCGAGCCGATTCGCTTTTGATTATTTGGTTTACGCTGCACCGTCGTCCCCTTGGGGGAGAGTCGCGGTTGCGGCCTCTGGGTGTTGTGTTGCTTATGCTTGTGTTTATAGCTAAGACGCCTACGGCGAATCACCGCCGACCCCTGCCCTTTTGGAAGCGCCCATGTGGCCGACAGCTGGGCTAGAGCTTGGCCAAGCTATCGGGCCAGTTGTTCCCCGAGTCGGTTTGGAAAGCCTTTGGGGAACGCGTGGGGGAGCAAGAGGAGGAGTATCAGGAGACGGAGGAGGATTATGATTAGGAGGAGGAGGATAATGAGGATGAGGATGAGGATGATGGGGGAGGAGGAGGAGGAGGAGGAGGAGGAGGAGGAGGAGGAGGAGGAAGAAGGGGGAGGAGACTTCTTGGGAACCTCCTGGGAGGCCTCATAGGAGGCCTCTTGGGAGGCCACTGCGGAGCTTCCTGGGGGCCTTTTGGAGACCTCTTCGGAGCCTTCCTGGGCCTCTTGGGGGCCTCTTGGGGGCTTCTTGGGGGCCTCTTTGGCAGTTTTAGGGCGTTCCTGATTCATCTGGCGCCGTCAGAAGCCGTCTTGGGGGCCTCTCTGAACCGACTTGGGGCCCTCTTCGGGCGCTTCAGGGCCGTCTTGGAGAGGGAGGGAGGGAGGAGGAGGAGGGAGGAGGAGGAGGAGGAGGAGGAGGAGGAGGAGGAGGAGGGGGAGGAGGAGGAGGGAGGAGGAGGAGGAGGAGGAGGAGGAGGAGGGAGGAGGAGGACGACGACGAG